TTTTACAAGTATTCTTTCCCTAGTCTCTTCAAGCTTTACAAATGATAGATAAATTGTTTCGAGTGTGTAGTTTACTGTCACAAAGAGGATACAAAGATTTACTACACTCACTAAGGTTTATGTTCCTAAGTTACACTTAGAACTCCTTAGTCTACAGAGATAAATACAATACAATATTGTACATTTGACTATGTATGCGCTATCTCTGGTTTCGTTGCTTCTTAGGCTCAGAATCACTCTCTTCACCAACCTTTCCAGGTTTGAAGTCATGACATATATATAGTCTCTATAATATCTGCCCGTTGCAAGTGTTTGTTGAAGCAGAATGTAGTCGTTCATAACTAGTTCGATCTTTCATTTAATGCATTAGATCTTGCATTAAATGTTGCTTCTTGTTTATAGACATTTCGTGAAGTATTCTATGTTGTTAGCTGTAGTGTCTGACTTTAATTTAGACCTAGGAACTTTTTGTCCTTTTTTGGTCATCGTAGCTGTAGAGGCGTTGTCTTTATCTGAAAAAGTAATGTACTTTTTCTGACACATGCATGCTTTTACTTTTGCGCTTGCTTTTCCTCTTTTTCTTTTCTTCCTTTCATCGCGCGATCATATTGAGAGCTTTTGTATGATTGTAGACGATGCCTGAATTGTCCCTTGAGACTTGATTCTTCAAATGTTTGCATAGCAGTCTTCGTCTGCATCTAGTAGTCCATGTGCATCTCAAGACTTGATCTTCGTCTGAACATCTGTCATTAATGCTTTGACTTTCTTTGGTCTTGTCAATATTTTAGATGGACAGTCTTTGTTTCTGTCTAGAATGCTTTTCAGTCTGTGTTGTCCTTCGTCTGATATGTAGTTAACTTTTGTCTAATTCTTGACCAGCCTTCGTCTGAGTTCATATGTTGCGCTCTAGGTTATGCTTGACACACCTACTTTGGTATTTGATTCATCATCGTCTGATGCTCATTTCGTATTTCATCTATCATTTGACTTTGTTTAATCTGATCCTTGTGTTGTGCTTTGCCTTGACTAATCTTCGTCTGGTACTCGAAGAAGTTTCGTCTGTGATCTATATGGACTTCTTCTCGTTCATGAATGTGCTTCGTCTGGAGCTTGATCATTTTTCTTCTTGTGTTGTCTTCTCTTTCATGAATGTGCTTCATCTAAAGCTTGATCATTTTTCTTCTTGTGCTGGACTTAGCTTCGTTTGACCTTTTCGTGTGATGCTTGAAGCTTTCCTTCCTTTATATTGGTTCTAGTATAAAAAGTAGCACATGCACTATTCTTCAATTTGCCTATACTTATGTTTTTCTGAAACACTAACACACTTGTTAGAAATAACAATATGTATTATATTTGTCTCATTCAAAACTTTGTTGGGAATTGCTTCGTCTGACTTAACAAAAATAATGAGTGTTAGATTTTCATTGTGCAACCTTTTGAAACCCTAAGAGAGAGTGTGGGGTAGCGGATGAAGCTATGGAGAACAAATAGTACTGTGGAATCACCACTCAAGATAAAAGGAGAGTGAAGATGTTGCATCCATGGATGCATGTGAAGGGTAGGGGTAGTGGGGTGATCCTAAGCCTCGTAGTGCAAAGGCAACAATTTTGCGAAGTTCAAAATCTACGACAATTCCATGCGTGCCTTCGTGGCGTTAGGCGAGACGAACCTAGATTCCTGTGTTGGGCGTGGAAGGAGTCATGTTGGGCAAAGGGATGCCAAAGAGGTCCCCAACTTCCCTACATTGAGTGAGGAGTGTCTTGCCTAACGCCATTCAACATCATTTTGAGATAAGGTAACACTAGGTATGATCCAAATCACACTTAATGAATTAGTTCCAGATAGAGGTGTCAAATGGATCCAACTTGATGGGTCAACTTAGCTCACCATGAGACTAGACTTGGTTAGCAAAAAAACATGATACAACGATTTCGATTAAATTTCAACCCAATTTATTTAATCTCGTGAGTCAAATGAGTTTGAGTCTAAGTGAGTCAAATTAACCCATTTAACCCACTGCAATTTTAAAAATAAAAAATCTATATTTATGTTTTGTGTAGTTATCATTTAAATTTTTAATTACTATTTTTTATGTACTTGCATTTGAATCAATGATAAACTTGATTTCTTAATAGAAAAAATTATATTTCTTTATTTTATTTATTAAAAATAAGAACATGTATATTAGAGATGAGATCAAGTTATTATTAAAGTAATTCTAAGAGTTGATGAGTCATAATCATTCATTTTTTCAAAATCTAACAAATTATGGGTTACTCATTAGAACCATTAAATTTGAGGAAAATTAATCTCTTTTAAAGTTATTCTTGAAGTAACTCAACTTATACATATATATATAAAAGATAAATTTACTCAATAACTTGTGTTTTACATCAAGTTTTAACTATTCAACTATTAAATTAAAACTTTTTAATGTATAAATTAAATCTACAAAATTTTTAAAAAAATTGAAAATCATATGATACTTCATTATATACATTCAAATAAACGTGAAAAAATACTTTTATGATTGTCATTCAATTTGAAATTATTGAAACAAAACATTATGCATTAAGAACTTTCAATGTAACAATTATACCATTAAAATTAAATATAGAATATGAGTAAAAAAATTATATTTAGTCTATACATTAAAAACTTTTAATTTAATAATTATATCAGTAAAATTTAATATATAACATGAATTATTAAGTAAAATAAATCTATCAAAAAATTTTATTAGAATAAGTAAGTCTCACTCTGTGGAGTTACTTTTAAAAAACAATCATTATATCAAAAGTATAACACAATTGATTAAACATGATTTGCTATAAAAAAAAATACTTTTAGCATAAGTTTAATTCTCATGGATTAAAAAAATGTAAGTAAGCTTAATTTTATGATTAAATTCGGTTTTTAACTAAACAACAGCAGTATTGTTGTAAATAGAATTAACGTGCTCTCAAAAAAATAGAATTAATGTGGATTTAGATAAATAAATAAAATCCAATACCGATTGTTAAATCAATAAATCTCTTAAACATAATATATAGAATTTAATTTCCAATCATCATACGTATAAAGGGAATTCATCAACACAAAGCCCACTTCAACAATCTATATATAGTCCCCACTCTCCCCACCAATGCTTGTCAAATCCAAGCCTTTATGATTTATTGACAAGTTATTAAGTTTGTCGAAATATAAAAAGGGATAACTTCTATACTTATTTTCACAGCTGATTAAACTCCAAACAAAATATAACAATCGGCATGTAATTTCCACTTACATCATTTAACGTAACAAAGGGTGAGCTGTACATTGACAGGAAGAAGGCAAGCAACGACTAAGGACGCTGTCCGTGTCTCGTAAATGAATATGGCACAGTTAATCTAAATTCCCATATAAGTATGATGAATGAGGAGAAGAGAACCACAACCCCTGACTGCAATGATCCAGAAGTTCCAGAGCGGACACCGCATCACGCATGAATCACAGTATTAGGGCTTAGTCGCGGAATACCTCTAGAGGTATAAACGAAGGACAATATTTCCTTGCCACAAACTTGAACTGAATGCACATAAAAAACATGAAACCATATCATATTAGTAGTAATTAAAGCCACAATTATTAGAGCAATACATTCAACCATAAATAGATGGGGAAACTTGCAGGTTAAGACGAGATTCAAATAAGCACACGCTGTGATTCTTGCCAAATGTATGAAATTCCAAGAAACTCTTTATACCTTTTAATTAGGGGTATAAATAAGCGGAGTCCAGCATTGAAGTTTAGATTTGGCTTGCGAATAAGATTAAGCTGCTCAAGCTTAACTCATCAATCTAAAAGAATTTAATTGAAAAAAAAAAAAAAAAAAAACTTAAGCTTGTTTTGTTTTGTTTTATTTATTTTATAACTTAATTATTTTAGTTTTTATGGAAATTTTCCTTAAATTATTTTTAATTTTATTAATTTAGTATTTAATAAATATTTTCAATACTAGATTATCAAAACAAAAAGAAATATGATCAATATCACTTAATCAGCTATTTGTTTAAAATAAATAGAAAATGATAGGTAAGATGCAGAAAATGCCAAGTACTAAGGAATGCGATTGTATACTTGCTTTAAGTCATCCAACTTTACAACCGCATAAGAGAGCAAGACCGGGGATTATTCTCACCTTATGCTGGCTGTATTTCTCCCTGATGGCAGGTAAGTCATAGCCATCACAACATAACCAGTGCAATCCCTTGACACATTCACGCAATTCTGATGCTTGGTAACATGTGTAATGCTTTAGTGTAGGATTCTATGCCAAAACAACATAGGTGCACGGCATCATTACACATGTCTATCAAATGAAAAATAATCCTCAGTAAATTAAATAGGTTTCCTGTGATACATTACCCAAGGTTTCTCACTAGGAAGTAGGATGTATTTAGCCAAGAAAGTGGCGGATGCAGCTATTAACGATGGGGTGTACTTAAGCATGCCATACTCGAGAAGAGATAACTCTGTAAGATAATCAGCGAAATACTCTAACTGCAACAATGGAACCTAAAAATAGTATGAAACCATTATCGTAAGTGTCATTATCATCAAAACTAGAGATTAAAAAATCCCAATCAAAATACATACCTTACAAGTTCGTTGGGCAACAATAATGAAGCGCCTGTGTTTGTGATCACGATTCACAAGTCAACTCATAAATCATTGGGCAACTTACTTCCACTTGCACTTGCCAATAATAAGACAAAAAGTTGGTCATTACCTCATAAAACATCTAGCTGTAGGAACTGTCACTCCAAACTTCAAGAAATTCAGCACATCAGATTCCATCCCTAACACCTGCAGTAATCTCATTCAATTATCCTCTTAGGAGAATAAGATAATCAAAAGACATTCAGAGCCGCAGATATGAATCAATACGTAACAAAATCCAAACCTGCTCCTTAGAGTATGTATTATCAGTTACATAACAGAACTCTTCCACCGTAGGGGCACATATCTCCTCGTATTTTCTGGCAAATTCAAATTATAAGCTTACGGTTGTGGGATAGACTGATAGAGATATAAATACACGACAAACAGAGGACATAATTAAGAGAGGAAACACACGTGTGCACTCACGAAAATATATTATATATTTCTTAACAAACATGCATTAAGAGATAGGAAGCCTACGCATGCAGGCAACACCAAGTAATTGTAATTGTCGCCTGTTCATTGCATTGCCAGAAAGATAGCGATCAATGCAGTTTACTGTCAAATATAGCGTATCAGGTAGAAGCTTATACTCTTCGGAAACCTACAATGTAAAGACAACATTGAATATAGCAATTGAATGAAGGATTTAGTTTAATGAAACCCATACACATAATGTGGATTTTAATATTCTACTATAATTGCCCATGTTTTTCTATCTCATAACATAATAAGATTTTGTGTCTATAGATATATTCACGCAGTATTTTTGAAACCCACAACTAAAGACTAATTTGTACTTGATAAATAAGAAATTTACAAATCATTAATTTTAATCATTCTGAAAATTTGGGTCATTTAAAGAAATTTCTAAAAACAAATATATCACCCTGACAATACCGCTACCCACCATAGTTTACCTCCACAAGCCAATCAATAAGTATTGCGCGCATGCTAGGGTTGAGGTCTTTCTGTATCTTCTCCATGAAGTCCATAGACGGCCTTTTAATTTTCTAAAACCAGAAATTAGACCAAAACATAAGATGAAAAGAAATAGAGAGAAAGGATACAATAGTTCTAACACACATGTTTAACTGTTGTCAAAATTAAAGACAGTGGCTTTTTGAGTGGGACCAAATCACCGTCAACGTACAGAGCATTCAATTGTAGATGTTATTAATTATTTTGCTCTCGTTGTGACCCTACTCTACGTCAAACTCGTTCAAAAAAAATTACAATTGTGGGAAGGGAAAACCAAAGAGAGGAAAGTACAAATGATGCATCTGAATGTTATATAAAATTCCTCCTCATGTGAACAAAACTATTACAATTATACCGAATCTTTATTATAAACTTTTAGCAATGTTGTACAATATATAAAACTACAATAGAATGTTTTATACCCTCACAACTTCAATTATATATATCTAGCGTGACAGTTTGAGATAGTTATGTAATAATAATTAAATTTAATATAATATTTTTATTAATAAAATATTAGTAGATGAATTTTGTTAGATAGTATTTGATAGATTTTTTAATAAAATTTGAATATAAAAATTAAAATAATATTTTTAAAATTACAAAAATTAAAAAAAAAACTAATTTTAAATTTGAGACTAAAAATAAATTTATACTAAATTTGAGAGATTAAAAATATGTTTAAACCTAAAATTAAATGAAAAAACAATTTTTTCAAGGGATTGAATAATATTTTGGTTCTCATGTTGAAAACCAATCAATGCAAATCAAATTGAACGACATAATTCAAGACAATTCAATAATTGATTACATGGTCATGAATTCAAAAATTTGTATCAACTAGGAAAATAAGGAAATCAACTCAATAATATTTTTTAAAAAAAAAATCAAAATGATGAAAACAAATTAATCCCTTATACATTAAATAAGAACAACTATTTTGCACAAGAGTGTTTTAAGAATTTTTTCTCGAAGGGAGAATTTTTAGATATTTTTTTAATTTTTTATCTAATTCAATTTTATTTATTATAATTATTTGTTAATTAATTTTTAATATATTTAAAATAAAGTATTAATAAATAAAATAATATTATATTACAATATAAATTATGTATCACAAATCTAAAATATAATATTTATATTTTTAAAAATATATATTTATATAAATTTTAATTATTCATGTCTGTAACGCTACACCATTATATATAACAATGATTAGGTCTAAGAAGAGGGTTACTCTTATCAAATGTTCTAGGTCAAGATTGTTGTCAAGTTCTTTTAGCTCGGTATCGCTAAGGGTTCTTCGGCGGTGATCTCCAATACCGGAACAATTGTAATAATGAAAACTTACAAATAAATTTTTTAATTTCGGTAAAAGGGTTCACATGAGAATCTTCAAAATTATCCTTCAATAACCACAATAATAAAAATGAAACGCAAGAGTTTATAAATTGTTTTCAAAAATAACATTTACAATTCCAAATCCAAATAAAAACATATGTTCTAAAAAAATCCCTCTGCCCCGATGTCACAATATCAGAGCATCCCCACAATTCAACTGTTGGCATACTAGATGCCACTCGAAGCAGGATCTTCCTCACCTAAAACATCCACAATTTGTACGGTGAGAAAAGAAAACATCCATATGTAAAGCACATACACAACAATGTAATCTCATTACATAATGAAATATTTACAAGCATTTCCATATATCATAACTCTATCAATCATGCATCATTTTCACATCTCAATTACATCAATCCATCACCATCCACACAAATCTTACAATTATTTCCACATCCATAATTCATGTCAATCTCACAATTAACACTAT